ATATGAATGGAGCTCCGGCTCCAGCTACCAGAGGCAACTGCCTGATTAGCAATTCACATGCTCCCAGGAGAAAGCAGCCGGCGGCCAATCACAGCGGCTCTGCTGACTCACGGGCAAGCTGACAGGAAGGCAGCCTCGGTAGGCTTTAGGTTCGGCACGCAAAGATCACCGCGCCTCATTTCCTCTGCCTGTAACCCGAGCCCTGCACCCACCGCACTCATCAACCCATCTGCTAATTAGATCTCACGGCCGCCTCCCTCCCTCCTGCACCCGCGGAGCTGGCAATCTAGCTGCAAGGTCACCGTGGCGCCAGCCCTGGCAGGTACAACCGCCGCGGTGCTCGCTATGCGGAGCGCATCGGTGTTTCCGAGGGCTGCGTCGCCATGGAAACAATTAACTAATTAGAACGCAGATGAGATCCTCGTTACGGAGACTGCACCTCACTTCCTGTCCAGGTGACCACACAGGAAATGAGCAGATTTTCCCAAAGGGGGATCACAGATGACAAAGAACCACTAAGACTCTCACCCTTCCCCCCACTCTATACGTATTAGTAGCGCCCCCCTGTTGGGAGAGATTTTGCCCACTTCCTTGCTCAGTGACCACACAGGAAGAGAGGGAAAATCTCCCAAATCACAAGACAAATCCAACAGAGGATCTGACCCAATATTGCTCCATCCAAAACTAAGCTAAAGAATAGGTTTTGGGTGGATTAGAGCTTTACAGTTGAAGATGTGAATTTAATGTATTATATAGCAAGGGCAGCGGGGACACTCCAAGGGGGGTGGGGACACCTCAAGGGGGACAGGGACACGCCAAGAAGGACAAGGACACCCTATGGAGGACGGGAACACCCCAAGGTGGAGAAGGACACCCCATGAATGACACCCCAAAGAGGACAAGGACATCCCAAGATGGATGGTGACACCCCACGGACGACGAGGACACCCCACGGACGACGGGACACCCCACGGACGACGGGACACCCCACGGACGACGGGACACCCCACGGACGACGGGACACCCCACGGACGACGAGGACACCCCACGGAGGACGGGAACACCCCAAGGTGGAGAAGGACACCCCATGAATGACACCCCAAAGAGGACAAGGACATCCCAAGATGGACGGGGACACCCCACGGACGACGGGGACACCCCACAGACGACGGGGACACCCTATAGAAGACGGGGACACCCTATAGAAGACGGGGACACCCTATAGAAGACGGGGACACCCTATAGAAGACGGGGACACCCTATAGAAGACGAGGACACCCCATAGAAGACGGGGACACCCTATAGAAGACGAGGACACCGCCAGGAACCATGGTGGTGAGATATAAGAGGCCGGCGGGTGATTCAGCTCACTGACTGAAGGATTGCAGCATGTGATTCCAGGAAAGCGGCATGGTTGCTATAAGTTACGTGGGTGAGGCGGGACTCCATACTGACTGACACTTCCCTCCTGCGTCCTCCATTATACACACTGCCCCCCCCCCTTTCCGCTGGCCTTCTCAGATGCTATTTTATTAACTGAGCGCACAGCCGGCCTCTGGGGACCCCGCAGCTTCCTGCAGTCCTGAGCCTCCCCCCACTTATCAGGATGGCAGGCAGCACACAGGAAGAAGCCGGGCCCTGGCCTGAGGAGGGGAGGGCGCGGAGCCCGGCGTTAACCCCGTCCCTGCCAAAGTCCGAGGATGGCAATGGGAGGGGAGCGATAAAACGGAGGAATACAGGCTCCAGCTGGGGGGGCAAACTGCGAGTCCCCGCGCCTTCACTCATCCAATATCAGTTTCCATATTGCTGGTGGACTACAAGCCCCAGAAGCCCGCTTAGCCAATATCAGCCTCTACACTGCTGGTGAACTACAGGTCCCAGCATCTATTCTCAGCCAATATCAGCCTCCATGCTAGTTGGGAACTACAACTCCCAGTGTGCCCTTTCAGCAAAATTGACCCTTTCCAGCTCCTGAAGGACTACTAGTCCCAGCATATCCTTAAATATAAACACAAGCCACCCTGATCTCTTGCTGGACTACAACTCCCAGGATGATCTCCTGGAGTGAACCTGTCATCCCTCCCTGGCCAAAATGGAGCTCGCAGGTGACAGAGACCCCCTCCCCCCCCCTCAGGACACTTGAGACCGTCCAGGTTCCAGAAATTTGGACTCTATATATAACTTGGCAGATCGTCTAGACATGACATGTATTCTGGCACGCGGGCTGCATTTAAAGGGCCACCCATGGGGGTCCATGTTTTCATCCTGCAACCTAGAGCTGAACCCCGCCCGTCAGCCAATCAGATCCCAGCAATTGTTTTTAGAGGGCGGGTAGGACAATGAACATTAGCTGCTGCCTGGTGGCAGACCCACAACTGCCACTCCACCACCTACCCAACCTACAGAAGGTGGCAGTGCATGCTGGGACTATAGACCCACAACTGCCACTCCACCACCTACCCAACCTACAGAGGGAGGCAGTGCATGCTGGGACTATAGACCCACAACTGCCACTCCACCACCTACCCAACCTACAGAGGGAGGCAGTGCATGCTGGGACTATAGACCCACAACTGCCACTCCACCACCTACCCAACCTACAGAGGGAGGCAGTGCATGCTGGGACTATAGACCCACAACTGCCACTCCACCACCTACCCAACCTACAGAGGGAGGCAGTGCATGCTGGGACTATAGACCCACAACTGCCACTCCACCACCTACCCAACCTACAGAGGGAGGCAGTGCATGCTGGGACTATAGACCCACAACTGCCACTCCACCACCTACCCAACCTACAGAGGGAGGCAGTGCATGCTGGGACTATAGACCCACAACTGCCACTCCACCACCTACCCAACCTACAGAGGGAGGCAGTGCATGCTGGGACTATAGACCCACAACTGCCACTCCACCACCTACCCAACCTACAGAGGGAGGCAGTGCATGCTGGGACTATAGACCCACAACTGCCACTCCACCACCTACCCAACCTACAGAGGGAGGCAGTGCATGCTGGGACTATAGACCCACAACTGCCACTCCACCACCTACCCAACCTACAGAGGGAGGCAGTGCATGCTGGGACTATAGACCCACAACTGCCACTCCACCACCTACCCAACCTACAGAGGGAGGCAGTGCATGCTGGGACTATAGACCCACAACTGCCACTCCACCACCTACCCAACCTACAGAGGGAGGCAGTGCATGCTGGGACTATAGACCCACAACTGCCACTCCACCACCTACCCAACCTACAGAGGGAGGCAGTGCATGCTGGGACTATAGACCCACAACTGCCACTCCACCACCTACCCAACCTACAGAGGGAGGCAGTGCATGCTGGGACTATAGACCCACAACTGCCACTCCACCACCTACCCAACCTACAGAGGGAGGCAGTGCATGCTGGGACTATAGACCCACAACTGCCACTCCACCACCTACCCAACCTACAGAGGGAGGCAGTGCATGCTGGGACTATAGACCCACAACTGCCACTCCACCACCTACCCAACCTACAGAGGGAGGCAGTGCATGCTGGGACTATAGACCCACAACTGCCACTCCACCACCTACCCAACCTACAGAGGGAGGCAGTGCATGCTGGGACTATAGACCCACAACTGCCACTCCACCACCTACCCAACCTACAGAGGGAGGCAGTGCATGCTGGGACTATAGACCCACAACTGCCACTCCACCACCTACCCAACCTACAGAGGGAGGCAGTGCATGCTGGGACTATAGACCCACAACTGCCACTCCACCACCTACCCAACCTACAGAGGGAGGCAGTGCATGCTGGGACTATAGACCCACAACTGCCACTCCACCACCTACCCAACCTACAGAGGGAGGCAGTGCATGCTGGGACTATAGACCCACAACTGCCACTCCACCACCTACCCAACCTACAGAGGGAGGCAGTGCATGCTGGGACTATAGACCCACAACTGCCACTCCACCACCTACCCAACCTACAGAGGGAGGCAGTGCATGCTGGGACTATAGACCCACAACTGCCACTCCACCACCTACCCAACCTACAGAGGGAGGCAGTGCATGCTGGGACTATAGACCCACAACTGCCACTCCACCACCTACCCAACCTACAGAGGGAGGCAGTGCATGCTGGGACTATAGACCCACAACTGCCACTCCACCACCTACAGAAGGTGGCAGTGCATGCAGGGACTATAGACCCCACAACTGCCACTGCACCACCTACAGAAGGTGGCAGCGCATGCTGGGACTATGGACCCAAAACTGCCACTCCACCACCTACCCAACCTACAGAGGGAGGCAGTGCATGCTGGGACTATGGACCCACAACTGCCACTCCACCACCTAAAGAAGGTGGCAGTGCATGCTGGGACTATGGACCCAAAACTGCCACTCCACCACC